AAAAAAAAAAAACCCACAAAAAACAAGTGGTTGTGAAGATGAAATGAGGTAACACAGGGCATAATTCAAGGCCCCCAAGGAGACCCTTGCTGGTGGTATGTTTGTTTCCTTCACCTATCTTGGGCCTGTTCAGCCATCAAAAGGTCTTTCCTCTCTCCTCTCTCAGATACAATAGACTCTTGGGGCTCCAGCAGAGGTTAAAAGAAAGCAAGCTGCGGGCCGGAAGCGTGGTCGGCTGCTCGCCCGGAGCGACCGGAGCTCAGCCTGTCTTCGGATCGCTGCGTTCTATCACCCAGCGGGCAGGCCTGGGGCCCAGCCGACAGCTCCCATCTCGTCTCCTTCCCGCGCTGGACAGCGGAAGCAGCCCGCATCCCGGGGGCTTTCCCCGGCTGAGCCGCCTAGTGACCACTGTCAGAGTGGACAGGAAGCCGCGGGCACCAGGAGTGGAACTTTGCCGTCGCAAAGCCTTCAGGCTTAGTCCTGGGAGAGGGAACCGGGAAATTTCAGTAGCAGACTAGTTTTGGTTTCAAAACAGAGAGTCAAAGGCAGGGACGAATGGGGTCTGGATGTTCCTTTGGGGAAGATCAGGAACAGGATAAGGCTAAGCCTAAGACTCAAGCAAGCTTACCCAAAATAGCTAGACGAAGCCGGACATCCATCACAAGATGTCAAACCAGCATCCTAATTCAAGCCTTTGAGAAGAATCAGTACCCTGGTATTGCTGTCAGGGAAGAACTAGCTGAACAAACAGGGATTCCAGAATCAAGAATTCAGATATGGTTTCAGAACCGAAGAGCACGGCACCAGAAAGGACACAGCAGAAGGAAACGTGTAAACTCCTTGACAGTTGACCCAAATCTGAGAGCACATCAGGACCAAAATGACCATGCCACTGTCCCAAGCATCTCTCATAATTTGCCTCCCTCTGATTCTTTGAGCAGGAACCAAACATTCATACCTGCTCATCTTGTGCCCCATATGTCTTTTGCTCCCCGGGATCCTAAACACTCAGGTATAAGCCAAGTACCAGGTGTCAGGATGGTCCAGTCCTCCCAGGTTGGGCAGAGTGGAGAGAATCCTCATCTCCCTCTCACACTGTTGAATCACTTGCCAACAGAACTGACTCTGGCAAAAGGGCTCACAGATACTCAGACTCCTTCCTGTCTCCAGTGTCAAGGACAATGTCAAGATCATAGTGAACACAGTGGAACACCAGGATTATACTTCCCACACTATTCACAGCCACACACTGATAGCAGAAAACAAAAAAGGCAGGATCTAAGTCAGCAAGACCTAACACTCATTACACAGTGGTGGGATGAGGAGTGCCAGGCTTTGATTGCCGAATGGGAACCTCATGAAGGGACACTGGCCTCTTAAGATGCACTGAGATGGGTCTGTGGGAATTTTCAGTGTAAGTGTCATGCTGTCCTCTTGACCAGCTACACTAGGAATACTTAGAAACCTCAAGCTTTATAGATCAATATCTGTCAAACAGATAAAGGTCACAACTCTTTGCGGATTTGAATCCACGGGAGGAGGTCATGCTGTTACTAGTTTAGATACTTTTCAGGTTTGTTTCACTGAATAACTTTCAGCATTCTCTTGGCCCTAAAATGAACAATGAGGATTTCATGATCAGGAGCAAGATTAAAGCAGGAAATGGAAATTCATATAAAGTCTGTAAACTCAAAGGGAGGTTTTTACTCTGTCCTGTGAGCAATACTTCAGTATTCACTTCATTATATAAATATATAGTGATATATTTATACAAATATATAAGGCTTTGGAGGCACAAGGTATACCAGTAACAAACCCATTCTTTGAATCCTTGAATAGAAGCATTTTTTGCAGTCGTTAGCTCATAGATGGTCTGTACATTCAAACTTAACAGTGTGGGCTGAGAAAATCTAAGAGGGACGTATCTACCATTATTTCTCTTCTGGCAGTGTAAGAGGTCAAATAGAAATTGGGATGTAGAAAATGAGAGAAGATGCTGTATTTCTTGATGTACGTTCATAAAGTTGAGAGCTTTCCTGTCACTGAGGACTGGGTTGGATTTGGGAAATGGATGTTACCTTGATATCTATTAATGAGAATGAGTAAATGGGTTGTAATACTTTTATAATCTAAGGATATCTTCATGTATAAATGTATTCTTGTTCACTGAAGTTAGAAAATTGAAATAAGTTTGAAGAGCACCACCATGCCATCACTGAGCAAAGCCTAGGGATGCACCGTGATGACCCCACATGGAAGGAGTAGAAATGCTTTATAGGGTTTTCTTGGTTCTTTAGGGTCACTGTGACTCAGGGTTTTATTGTCTTAAAACTTTAGGGTCACTGTAAATGAATATCTACATGGTGGTTTTGCCTTTTGTTTTAGTTTTTAGAGAAGCGGGTCCTCAGTGCTGCTGGGTATGTTTGAATACCTTTAGGTTAGGCGCGTGCAGACCCCCCAGTGACATTTTCCCCATTTTTAAGTTCCCCCCACTCCATATATTTGTACCTACAGGCAGTCCTCAGTTACGGATGTCTGAGTTAAGTATATCCCATAATCATGGAGCAACTCCCATAATATCTATTATATACTGAAAATTTAAGATATAAACTAGTTTATAATACCAACTGTATTGGCAGCTCTGTTCCTTACCACTAAGTCACCAGAGCTCCACATGGGCATTATATTGTAACATACCTCAAAGCATTATTAGTATTTCTATATTACTATACCTACCTGTTCTGACTTAGACAAATTTGATTTAAAGAGACTAGAGATGGAACTTTTTCATTGGACAAGAATTGCTTATGTGTAAATTTACACAAAGTTCTCAAGTTCAGAATAAATAAATTATACTTCTTGGTTATAAAAAAAAAAAGCAAGCAAGCTGCAAGTAATCAGTTGCCAACAAGTCAATTCTGATTCATAATGACCTCATGACTCACTCATTCATTGCTGTTGAATCGAAATTAGCTCAAAACTGACTCTTTAGCAGGTTTTTAGAGGTTGTAAATCACACAGAAGGAGAGTGTGCATCTTTCTCCCAAGAAGCAACTGGTGGATTAAAATTATCTGCCTTTGGGTAGGCAGCTTAGCTCCACTAGGCCACCAAAGCTTTGTAGTGATCCCATGAGTCAAACTGTGCTTTCTAGTTTTCTTTTATTTATCTGTTGTCGTAATTTATTTTTTGAAGATTGTAGCAAGACAATTCTATAGGGGAAAGAATAACTGTCTGCCTAAATCATGGGTCAATGGAATATACACTTGCAAAAGAATGAAATTAAACCTCCTCCTTACCCCACAGATAAAACATAACCTGAAATAGATCAAAGACATAAAGATAAAAGTTACAAAACTCTTAGGAGAAAGCATAGGAGAAAAATCCTTGTGAATTTTGAATGATAATTTTTTAGATATGACACCAAAATTACAGGCAATAAAAAAGAAAAAAATAAATAGGATTACATAAAAATTTTAAAAAATCTTCATGCTAGAGACAATACAGTGAGGAAAGCAAAAATACTGATGAATTAGAAAAAGTACTTGAAAATTATATATGTGGTAAAAGATTTGTATCCAGGATGTATTAAAAAGGGGAGCTCTGGAGGCCTAGTGGGTAAGATTTAGGCTTTCAACCTAAAGGCAGATAGAGAAAGATGGACAATCTCCTCCTGTGCAATTCACAGCCTCTAAAAGCCCATTGGATGATCAGCTATGAGTAGGGTCTAATTTGCCAGCAGTGAGTTTTTTTGATGTGTGAAAAACATTTACTAGTCAGTAAAACAAATAAGCCATTTTAAAAGTGAACAAAAATTTGAACAGGCATTTCCTCAAAGAAGATATACAAATTCATAAGCACATGAAAGTATGCTCAACATTATTAGTCATCAAGGAAATGCAAATTAAAATCACAATGAGATACCACTCTACACCCATTAAAGTGGCTACAATAAAAAAAGATAGACAATTACAAGCGTTGGGCAGGATATACTGCTGATAGGAATAGAAAATGATGTGACTGCTGTGAAAAAATGGTTTGACAGTTCCTTAAAAGATTTAACATAAAGTTACTATGACTCAGCAACTCCACTCTTAGCAATCTACTTAAGGTAACTGAAAAAAACCAAAAAAACTTAGAGATAGTCTCCAACTTTTGAGTTACAATGCACTGCACTTAAGACCATCCTTTTGGTCTTAACCAAATTTAAAAAAATTTTTAATATCTATTTTTATATATGTGTATTTTAAAAGGGAACTCTTGTGGTGCTGCTAACTCAGAGGCAGGTGGTTTAATTCATCAGCTGTCCTGAAGGAGAAAGGTAGCCAATTTCCTCTCATGTGATTTTCAGCCTCTGAAAATCAGTTGAGGATCAACTATGAGTTGGTTCCAACTTGAAGGCATATAACGACAACATATTAAAAGTAGTTCAGACTATAATACAAAGAATAATGTGGCATCAGGTTTGGATAAAGGCTCATTAAGAACTTGCACCGTGTAGATGACACCACTGTGCTTGGCCAAAGTGGAAAGGACTTGAAGCACCAACCTATTGATAAAGATCAACACCTACACAGCCCTCTAAATGGATTATACCTCTGCATAAAGAAAAACAAATCCTTACAACAAATGGACCAGCAAGCAACATCATGACAAATTGGAAAGGATTGAAGTTGGCAAAGAATTTTACTTCAATTCACCTCAATGCTCCCAGAAACAACAGCCAAGAAATCAAAGGACATATTGCATTGTGCAATGATGCTGTTTAAGGACCTCTTTAGAGTGCTAAAGAGAAAGAATATCAGTTTAAACACTAGTGTGTGCCTGCCTGTAAAAAGAGAAAGGGCAGCACAGGAATGGCCAAGTTTGACCTCTAATAACTCCACATGGAAAAACTGTCCCCACCAACAATATCCAAAACACAAAACAAATTCCCACAAGGTCAGACATAATCTCCCTGCCCTACATCTCTTTCTCTAATTCCAGCTGCTCTACTGGGTCCAAAGTCCCTTGCAATAGCTATATAGACCTTCATCACGATTATGGGATTTATAAGGGAACTTAACTGGTAACTCAGGTTGGCAACATGATACAATTTCTCAGGACAGCTTCTGGAGTGTGCTTATGGCTCTTCAGCCTTCAGCCTTGTGGCTTTAGGTCAGTGTTACAAAGCTCTCTTTGTCCTACCAATTAAGATATCTCCTCTCTCACCTAGACCTCCAGCAAGCTTGAGCAAAAATCCCTGGTTCCAGCTCCATTAAGGCAGCAGTTCCCAGTCAGCTCTATTTTCTGGTTCTCTGCTGCAGCTGCTACTATTCTCCTGTAGGCCCTGGTCTGAGATGGCCCAAGAGTCTCTGGCATCAAAAGAGTATGTGCTGTATTTCCTGCTTCTTTGTTGGTGGTAGTGAGCTCCCCATATTTCTGCTGCTCAAACTGCTCAATTTAAACATGGTGGAATGGTGAAACTAGCTAACCCCCTGTTGGATAGACTAACACATTCTATTTGGATATTCCTGCCCAGATTCGCAACAAAGGTCTAGGAGAGACACTTTGAAAAATAGTCCCATTATACCACACTGACCCAAGCCATTGTATTTTTAATTGCTAAGTATACAAGTGAAAATTGGACAATAAACAAGGAATACCAAAGAGTTTATGCCTTTGAATTGTGGTGTTGGCAGAGTATGGGCTATCCCACATACTGCCAAAAGAATAAATCTATCTTGGAAGAAATACAACAAGCAGGCTCCTTAGAGGCAAGGATGATGAAAGCTGATTTCACATAGTTTGGGCATGTTATCAGAAAGTGCCAGTAGTTGGGAAAATACATCAC